TGAAGGAAAAACTTGTTTCCTGTGAGGGTGTCGGAGCCCTGGGACAGGCTGCCCAGAGAGGGTGTGGAGTCTCCATCTCTGGAGATGTTCAAAACCCACCTGGAAACTTTCCTGTGCAACCTGCTGTAGGGAACCTGCTTTGTCAGGGGGGTTGGACTGGATGATCTCCAGAGAACCCTTCCAACCCCTGTGACTCTGTGTAACTCATAAGCTATGGCTATGGAAACTACTGCAAAAGGAAAGTGAACCTGAGTCCCTGCTCTTTATTCATGTCACTGGCAATAGTTTCTCTGAATTCAGTGATGCAAAATCACTCTTGTACTGGACTTAGGGCACTCAGGCTTAAATTTAATCCTAACGCTTTTTACTGGTGCAAGAAACACATTTAACAGACAAGAAAAAACATATTTTTCTGTGACAGGAAATCAATTTAATCCATTTGTTGTTTGTTTTTTTCCCAGGCTTATATTTGGCACTCTCTACCCCGCGTATTATTCTTACAAAGCCGTGAAATCAAAGGACATCAAAGAATATGTGAGTAATGAGGTTTGTGGCTGTGCTGCAGGGTTTGTTTCTAAGATTGCTCCTCACCACACTGTAAAGGTGTTGCCTGTATTCTGGGAAAGCTCTTAAACCAGTGCAAGGGGAAGACTGGCCTGAAGGTGGACTGGCTGATTGCTAGGCACAAGTCTTAAATGAGGAGAGCTGGGTTTGTGCTTCTGGCTGCTCTGCAGAGTTGTTGAGCTCTTTGACAAATGTATGCCATTTCTCTGGTGGTGCAAGCTATATGCAGCTGACTTAAAAGGTGTTTGGCATCCAGAGCTGTGCATGTTTTCCTTTGTTTCTGAAGAGCAGAATAAATCAAAGCCTTTTCAAAAAGCCTTGAAGCTTTAGCTGCTCATTCAAAACAAGGATCAGAGGAGGCAACTCGAAGCACATATGACTGAATCCTCAGATAGAAACATCCTTCCTGGTAGAGCAACCTATTTACAGGCAGGTCTGGCCATCTTTTGCTGAAAAATATTCCCTGGGCCCCAATTTCTAAAGGCATATGAGGCCACCAGGGAGGGTGAAATGTGGAAGAATCAAAACCACTTGGATACTGTTGGTATCCTGTAGGATTTGTAATGCCCTTCACAACCTGATCTCTATTAACTTCACTGAACCCAGCTCAGTTCAGATCTTGACTCTTCAATCCTCTCAAGATCCCATGGATAACAAGCCCATTTTCCAGCCTCTGGGTAACAGCATAGATGGCTATCCTATTAAGCCATTAGTGCAAGCTCAAATTGGGACCCTCAGTGGCTGCTGAGATTTTTCTATTAGTTCCCTCCTTCAGATAATGGTTTTAGATATTTTGAGAATCATAAGTGTTACAGAACACATCAGATACTGAAGGTAAAATGTCCCTGCAGCCCTTGCACAGCCGTGCTTCTCAAGGTTTGTACACACTTTGCTAGGAAATGCTGAAGACGTCTGCTAGCATCCCCAAGCAGTGTCTGCCACTGATACTTAACATTTCCATAGTCTCTTTCTGGAAAGTATTTGGTTGAAGGGTCCAATTCCTGTTGGAAATTCAATAAGAAAGGAGGAACTCACATCAAACACATGGGGTCATGACCCAAATGTGGGAACAGCTGATCCAAGACCTGCTCTGCACTTACAATTGGTTTTTAGTTTAATGCACCAGTTGTGGCAATACATCTGTTAGGGATCTGATTGAGGAAAAAAACAACTAACAAAAGAAGTAGTTTATACTGACACAGTACAAACCCTTCATGTACTAGTCAAAACTTACATCACTGTTTATTTTTATTTTGCTTGGTAATAGTCATTTTAATAAATGACATTTTAGGCTGATCCAAGCCCATCCACACCAGGTCTCGGTTTGTGTTTAAAAGCTTTGCTGGCAGTAATGTCAAACTAACAGAATGGTGCTGGCAGTGAGGCTTTGAGGGAGTCACAGTTATGTAAAAAGTCTGGCAGAAGCTGCCCTGGAAAGACGGTGCTCTCAGGTATTTGGCAGTGCCATTCCACTGCTGTAACACTAAATATAAATATACAAATAAATATACATATAAATGTACAGATAAATTTGAGGGGAACAGTTTTATAGCTGAATGACTGGTGCTCAAAAAATAATTTCAGTACCTGCAGGGAGATGGAGAGAGACTACAGGTAATGTCCCCACTGCCTTGGGGAGTAGATGGAGAAAGCCATTTCAGAGCTGGTGAGATCCAGATTTATTGCCACCTCCATCCTCCCTTCCCCAGAGCAGCACCTGGTGTAGGTATCCCTCTTGTACTGCCTTTTTTGCAGCCTTTCTTTATTCTATTGCAATTATCCAGCCTTGGGTAACATGGTCCAGTTCTGCAATTCATGGATTTTCATGGTTTTAACTTCCTTAAGCTTTCTAATATTCCAGCAAAGCTGCTTAGGGATCTCCATTTTCAAATATAGCTAATTAGAGAACAATTTTCAGTTAAATTAACAATTTTTTAAAATTAACATCTCTTTTCCTTTGGAGAGACAGATTCTTAAAACTGTTTGAGCTTTAAGTTTTACAATTTTACAATGGATAAAAAAAATGTTGAGGAGGATTAAAAGGTTTCTCTCTCATTTCCAGTACTTGAAAATTATTCCTTATGTCATCTCTGCAGTGACAGTGCCGCAGAGCATCACGTCACTTGATAAAAATCACTGGCAGCACTGATGGCATATGACAAATACCTTGTTTCTTTCCAAATGTTGTTTAGGGCTCAGTGACAAAAATCCCCAGATTCCTGAATTATTATATACCCTGAGTTTCCCTGACCAAGTCACAGTCCCCAAAGGCTCCTCCTGTGTCTGTCACAATCACCACAAAGGCGACCATCCATAAATCACCCACCAAGCAGTCTACCCTGCAGTGGAGTTACCATAGGTGAAGGCAGTGACAGCACAGCACATGCTTTCACTACCAGCATGAGGTAAAATGCTCTCACCTAAGCCCTAGGTAAGAGATTTGAGCTAACAAACACACTTGCCCTTGTCACTGCAACGGGCTCAGGGTGTGGATGTGAGGAGGCACCGGCACTCAACTGATGCACGCTAATTCAATAAGTTGGGGTGGGTTGATTGTGCTGGTGAGCCCTGGATCATGGGATGGGCAGTTACCTCTTTATCTCTTCCTGGCTAATTTCCCCTGCCTGTACATATTATGTAAGTAATCACTTTTTATCCTAATTGCAGTTTGGCCAACGCCCTAGTATTAACCTTTGCTATTAAGATGAGCCAAGTGAGATTTTTAATGCCAGGTGATAGGGTGTTATCATGTGGACGTGGTCCTCCACTGGCCAGTGGAGATTCCTCTGTAGGGACAGAGTCAGGCTGCTCTTCTTTTCATGAGGCCAATCCTAAAGGCCACAACCTTCCTTCCCAAGAGCTTGTGTGGAAATCTGACGTGTAATTATATACTGAGGTGGGGGGAGCTCTGGCATCTTCAAGTTCAAAGTAATTGCTAAATACACAGGGGCAGGGAAAAGAACCTTTTTTTCTGTGAGAGTTACTCTGTGCACTTGTGCCTGTAAGAGATCGTTTGAGGCCCTTGGGGAAAAATGAACCGGCTGCTGTTTTTGTTCACCAGGTCAAATGGATGATGTACTGGATCATATTCGCACTCTTCACGACAGCAGAGACCTTCACGGATATCTTTCTTTGCTGGTGAGCACCAGATGGGGGAGGGTCTTTGGCATGAGATGGAGAGAAAATGGAAACGCTACATTCCATGCGTATTTTACATGGAGTGTGCGTGGCCTATATATTGCCCCATGGTCAAACTTAAACACCTTCTTTCAAAGTTATCAGCTAAAATGTGTTTTCTACACTCTTTTGGGACAACAAAAAATAGAAGTATTTTAACTTAATCCTGGCTGTAAATCCTCACTTCCAATGGATGTGTCTCCTTCTCAACCACAACAGGCATTGGAAGGGGTTGCCCAGGGCAGTGGTGGAGTCCCCATCCCTGGAGGGATTGAAGAGTTGTGTAGACACAGTGCTGAGGGACATGGGTTAGTCGGGGACTTGTCAGTGTTGGGTTCATGGTTGGACTCGATGGTCTTAAAGGGCTTTTCCAGTTGAGGCAATTCTGGGATTCTCTGTTTACAAGGGGAGAAAAGGGGTGTAAAGGTGCCCTGCCTCCTGAACATGGGGTTAGCAGCTCCAGGTGCGTGGAGGTGTTTTGTGGGGAGGAGCCACGCTTTCTTTCTCAGTGCTGTCATTGGAAAAGCAAGACAGAAGATGGAACTGCTCAGTGATATGTCATCAGTGAGGAATCATTACAGGAGTCTCAGCCCCTGCCTGTCAGAGAAAGGTGCAGCTGATTGCCGAGTTGGATGCTTGCAGAGATCATCACATAAACAGCAGTAGCTTTAGCTACAGGCATAGTTCTAGACTTACCTAGCTGTGTCCTACAGTAAATACACAGACTCTAGGGATCAGGCAGAAGCAGCCCTGCGGCACAGGACTTTGTAGGTTGCTGCGTGGGTGGTTGTTCCTGCGATGTTCTGCCAGGCCCATTCCTGGTTAGGCTGGGTCTATACGGTTTGATGGAGAACAGTGACAGTCCATACTGATGTGGGCTCTCTGGTGCCAGTGGAAGGATTCCTGGTCACTTCTGTCAGGATGAGAGTGTATAAACACCCAATTGTTAGATTCAGTTCCATAAATTTGGATGCTGAAGTTTGGAAATGTTTGGTGCTTGGTTGCCCTTTTTAGTAAGGCTTTTCTAGTGGAAAGCAGCGAGACGAGTAGAATTCAGCATGAAAATGTAACTGTAGTGCACAGCCCTCACATAAAACCTCTCCCTGTGCAGTGTGGCATGCCTGTAGTGAGTCCTCCAGACAAAGGGAATTGGGGGTACTTGGCAACGTGTCAGATCTGTTGAAAAGGAGATAAAAGGCGTTATTGTCTCTCTGCCTAATTTGCATGCAGATCTACCTCCACTGTGTTCATCTGGAGCTTTGTATTATTGGAAGATGTATTATGTGGGTCTCTTGGGAGGAATGACAGAGGGCTTGTCCAGCCTGTGAAATCAAGTATGCTGTAGAGATCCTCAGTGAGGTGGAAGATCAACCTGGCAAATCCATGCTCAGAGCAGAGCATCACAGAGGCCCATTGGGTCAGACTTGGATGTTCTATGGTCCAGCTGGCTCGGTGACAGTGCTCTGCTAGCCCAGCAGGAGTCTGTCTGAGTCCAGCTGTGCTGCTGCACAGCCATCACAGGGTCTCTGTGCTGCTCTTGCTTGCCCCTGCTTACAAAGGGTAGTGTTGGCTCATGACACTGCTGGCAGCAACGTACCTGCCCGCTTGAGGATGCTGCTAGCTGGCCTCTAGGCTTTGTCCTCCAGAAAACAGTCTGGATCATCTAATCTCAAGAAGTCCCTGGCTTGTTGTTACAGCTAAAACATGTCCTGTTGTTAGTTAGTGTCTTGCATATTTTGCAGTGCTACTGGAAAGCCACAGCATGGATCTGCACCTTTGTGTTGCATGTTGCTTCGACAACAAAGGTTCTTGTATTTCAGTTTCAGTCAGATAAGTGTTATCTTAAAAGCAGGAAGGCAGAGAGGTGAAAGGTGCATAAATATATCAATGAAACACTGATTTGCTGGTTTGCTCTTTGCTCCCTCATAATGACCGGACATGCTGTGAAGGCAGCATCTATGCCCTTTGCATGTAGAAAGCTCTTCTTATCACACAGCAGAGTCTCTTCCAGACCATTAAATAATGTCCGTGATACCTGAGTAAAGATTTACTCACATTCCTAGTTGAGATATGAGTGAATGGGCTTTGGTCTTTGGATTCTTTGGTCAGCAAAAGCTTCCCTAAGCTAGACTGGCCAGTCCCCTCCTGTGCTGAGCATCTCTAATTAAGGGCAGTGTTAATTTGGGAGTCGACATTAACAGCTCTTTTTCTTCTAGGTTTCCATTCTACTATGAACTTAAAATAGCTTTTGTAGCTTGGCTGCTGTCTCCGTACACAAAAGGCTCCAGCCTCCTGTATAGGAAATTTGTTCATCCAACGCTGTCTTCAAAAGAAAAGGTAATCCCAGGTGCTTGGGTCCTCTCTGGGTGGAGCACATCTACAGCATGTTAACTCCAGTATTCCTATCACTCATTTTCATTGAAGGACTGGGAGTTGCTGATTCTTGTCCTCTCTCATTTGATCATCTCCTTTTGGTTGGTGTTTTTGTTCTTTGTGGTTGTTGTGTTTTTAAATACTGGCATCTGTCCAGTGCACTCACACATATTAACTCATCTTTGTGCACTTGAGATGTTGGGAGGGACGGAGATAAAAATACCTCCCGAGCTGCTTTGCATGTACTGGCTGAATATAGCTGGTGTGCTGTGTGGTGGCTGGATAGAATGATTAGAGAAACAGGGTCTGACAGCCAGGGCTCCTTAACTTTGTTCCCAGCTCTGCCTAAAACATTGTACAGCCATGAGACAAATAGCCAGGCCTGTCTGAAAGGGGCTTAGCAAGCACTTGCCTGGCTGAGAGACGTATAGTGTGGTGAAGTAAGGTGTGTAGCATGTTGAGGTCCTGGGTTGGGAAATGTCTTGCTCAAATTCCTGATGCTAATTTTAAGGTGGGGGGAATTACAGCTTGGAATATTTGCCTGCCTAGGAGATTCCTGTGGCTGTGGATGGGACATTGTCAGGCAGATCCATTTGGCTCATGTGGATATGTGAGCCAAGAATCAGTCACATATCGACATGCAAACTCCTAAGAGGTGAATAACCGCTTCCCACATTGGCAACTATGGAAGTGGAAGATCTCTGTTTAGCCACGGGCAGTGCAGCAACAGTTGTATCTGAGTCCTGTCCAAGAAGGACAGTATCCCCTGTTTCTCTGCTTCCTGGGAACTTCTCACAAGTAGTGCTTATGCATTTTGGGTTGCCACCTCTTAGGGAGGGAATCACTACACAGCCAGCAGCTTCTCACAGCTTCCAGTCCCTACTAACCCAGCACGTCCAGTATCTGAGCATTGTCATCCATTATCATCCAGGACCCTGTGTCTGGAGGGAGGGAGGGTGGGAGGGTGAGGGCAGGAACTTTCATAACCAATTGACTGTATATTGGGCAGCATCGAAGCAGAAGCTCTAGACCTGCCAATTCCATGGGCATGTTGAAGCTAGACTCTGCAGTGATGTGCAGAGATATCTCAGATACTTCTGACACCACCAGTCCTGGACCCAGAGCAGAACAGCTGCAGCTGCCCAGTGTCATAATTGACTCTTTTTGACCACGGGGCAATCCAGTTTCTCCTTAGAGTCCATATATTGCAAATGGCTCCTGACACACCCTTGTCCATTCTGCCCAGGGGGATGTGTCTGTCTTGCTTGCAGAACCTATTGGTGGTGGTTGCACTGTGCAAGTGTATCCCAACTTTGGGTTCCAATCTTCCATTTGCAGAATAATGAGTTCCCAAAGCCTGCAGTGGGAGTTACTGCTCCTCTGCAAACCTTTCCTCTTGCAAACACTGGCTGTGAACTTCTCTTCAGCCAAGGTGGAGGAAATGGAGGATGTCTGCCTCTATAGAAGATGACCTCTCCCTGCCAAGAGTTTGAGGCTGGGAGAACCCTGAACTTGTCCTTTTTGTGCTTTTTTTGTTTGTTTGTTTTGTTGTCTGCTGTGACAGGAGATCGATGACTGCCTTGTCCAGGCAAAAGACCGGAGCTACGATGCCCTTGTGCACTTTGGGAAGCGGGGGCTGAACGTCGCAGCCACAGCAGCTGTCATGGCAGCTTCAAAGGTAAAGGTGCGGGTCAGGATGGTGATTCATTAGCAACTCATTTGCATCCATCGCCAACAGCAGCCACCACGTGGAGAGAGAGAGATGGCAGGGGCAGAGATTCTCTCAGTGATCTTGATCATGCCTCCCAATCTCCCATTCACCAGCCACACAGGACCTTCTTGGGATGAAGACAGTACGTGTGGTGCCTAGTGAACCTACAGGAGGTTGGAAATGCAGGATGAAGACCAGGGTCTGCCTCAGGCTTCTGTTGAATTTGATATTTTCCATCAGTACCCAGGTGACAGTGTTAGCAATGCTGTTTATCACAGCCTGTGCTCTTCATTTTCACTATCAAAATAGGAGCGTGCTTCCAGGAAAGATGCTGATGTTAGGTGAACACAGTTAGCACCTTCTGTGGCGAAGGGAAAGGCCATCTGCACCCCAGTTTGTCAATTGTTATGCTGAACTGTTGAGAAATCTGGAGGATCTAGTGACCTGTAATTTGGGTACTGACAGAAAGCAGATGTGGTCAGAAGTTCGTGAAGGCTCAAAGTTCATCTGCAAGGCTGACACATAACTTACCTGGTGTATAATTCTCTGGAGACACATTTACGTTAGAGTGGATGGGAAGTGGCATTAGCTGCTTCTGGAGAACAAATAGATGTTGGATGAGTGGTCTCATTTGAGGAGTTGTATCCTGGACTCTGTTCCTGGCTTAAAGCCAGCACCAGAAAATAGCTGTTATCTCTGCTCTTTGCATAAAAGCTGCAAGGACTTGATAACTGCATTTTGTGATCCTGCTTGCTGGCCATGGATTATCATGGCTTGGGGCAGATGTGCACAGTGACACAGTGATAGATATCCTCGTGTTTTGAGGGCGACTTGTATAAAGGGTTCTGCTTTCATGCAGTCAGATACAATGCCTCTTGCAAAAGAACAGTAGAAACATATGGGCAAGGTGGGTGCTGGTATTAGGAAAAACAGATGAATGGAGTTGAAGGAAATTATTTTCCTCTGTCAAATGCTTTTCTTATGACCTCAGGCACATCATTTTACTATCTCCTGGATTTACCTTTCTTAAAAATGCATAATACATCCTTAGGAGGCCAAATGCCATAAAATCTATAAAGCATGTTGAATGCAAGGTACTATAGAATTGGGGAGCCCCTGGCATGTGCCACACACACCCAAGATTCCAAGGATATGTAAAAGCTATATCCCATTCCAAAGAAAAGCCCAAAATTGCCTCATTTTCCCCTGCCAAGCATTGTGCAGACTGTGGCTGTCAGGCCTGGCTGAGTTCTCCTCAACTGTAGCTCTTCAGTGGGGAGGCTCTGCTGGCCCAGGGACTGCTGGCTAATTCAAACCTGGACTGAAACCTGGGATAAACATGGAGCTGAGGCAAAGCTGTGTGTTATATGCCCAACAAAAAAACACTTGTGTGATGCCTCCATGACACTTAACACTTGTACTGCTGCTGTGTGAGCTTGAAGAAGTTGCACCATGGACATAAATAGGCTCTGGGAATGCCTGTTTTACAGCACTGCCTTTCCTCAGAGGCCCTTCCTACAAGGTGCTTCAGACTCTCTGTGCTAGAGCTGTTTTTAGGACAGAGTTGGAAACTATTTGTGAATCCTGAAGAAACTCTGACTCCTGTTTGGGCAGCTTCTGAATATGAAAAGCTCAACAGTAGCCCAGACCCACAGTCACAACCTGTTCATCTCAGGACTGCAACAGTGTCTTCATCAGCTCTTCAACCTGAACAATCAGCACCACGGTTTTTCTTCCCACTGTTCTGCTTTTCTGTATTGTTTTGTTTTGTTTTGTTTTGTTTTTTTCTTAAGACTCTCACTGCCTTGACATGTGGCTCCAGTGGCAATGGGAGGCTGGGTAGAAGGGGGAAGAGTCTCCAGGGTACAAGGAAGCCATTGTTTTGTGTGAGTTAATGAAGCTCCCCATTCAGTGGTGGAAGAAAGCAACTCTGTGACTTGTATGGTATTGTTGTATTGCACATCTGCCAGCCTGACCTGAGAGAAAACAGTTAAGATAATGCGACCTGTAAATGGACCAGAAGAGTCTTTCCTGCACACTGCTATGGGGAGAGGAAAATGATCTGTTGATAAGATTGAGAGGTTGCTATTGAATTGATTGATTTTTACAGCAAAGCAAGGACTGATCATGTCTTTGCTTCTACCTTGACATTTAAATTACTTCTAATATGTCAGGAAAAATAGGAGTCCTGTCTTCCTTCACCACTTCAGCATGTGGTCTTCAGTAAGTTGCTTTCTTCTATGTGTATCAGGGTGCAGATCCAAGAGACAAGGTGAGCTGATCTGACAGCTTTCCTCCTCCAAAATGAGATAATGCTCCTGCTCCCAGTGGATTACTATGCACCAGCTCTTTCGACCTCCTCAGATTATCTCTATTCTATCAGAAGGCTAATCCAGAAAGAGAAAGAAAGGGAGTCCTGTTTTTTGAGCCCACAAATGTGTCTCAAGTGCCTGAGCCAGCACAAGGGAAGGGACAGAACTGCATTGTGAGGAGTATGGCCAGAGGAAAGGAAAGGAAAGCAAGATCACCCCTTCCTGGTCAAGGGAAGCAGACAGATTAAGCACTGCTGCTCATGGGACCACACCCTTAATACATTTAAACTCTTCATGGTGTAACAGTCAGGAATTGTTGAAGCAACTTCTGTCCCATGCCCTTCTCAGACTGAATTTCTTGTTTTATTGCCAGGGAGAGTTGAATGGCTGTGATTTACAGCCTGATGTGTTGCAGTACAGTAGTGCCGAGCTGGGATTCCTCAGGTACTGAGGATGTGAAGTGTGATGGGTCGGGTGTGGACATGTCTCCATTTAGCTGTCCTTGCTGCTATGAAGGGAGTGGTTTCCAAGAGAGGAGTGATACAAGCAGGTACTGGTGGTAGCACCTTCTGTTGCCCTGGTTTTCAGCTGCTGTTAAATGTATGTCAACGCCCTTACTTGCTCACTTGAGAAGGAGGTACAACAGAGCTAGATTATCCTGCATGAGAGAAGTTTAACTGACTAATTATCTGGAAAACACTTTGAGCTGACAGGTGCCAGGCAAGATTGCAGTGCTGTACTTGGGAAGAAGTTTCCAGGAAGGGAGAAAAGAGAATACTGTTCCTGAGACTTGTCCCAGTTTTCCCAGTGCCAAGGTTTGAGGGTCTCCAGCTAGCCTGTGTTGAGTGTAGTTGATTTAAGTGAGCCCTGAACAGGTTCATTGGGTTTCAGCCTTTAAAGAATTGTGTTAAAATTGGAATCTTTAGAGATCACCATATATTCAGAAGCTCTGAGCTCCTGCAGCTCCCATGGAAAACGTGGCTTTTCCCTGCAAAGGAATGTGAGGATCTGTCTTATTTCTTACTTCACTTGAATTAATGGATAAGGAAAAGATGGTTTTCTATTAAGAAATGGATCCTCAGACTTTGCAAGTCAACATCTTCTGGTGGCAAATACACAGTGAGATGCTGAGCTGGAAGTGTACTCTGTACAGACCTGTTTTCAGTGAATTAGCTTAAATCTAAAGGCTCCTGTACTTGCAGACGTGTCTCCCACTGTGCATAGCCCTGTCCTGTCCCTTCTCTCTGAGCTGTGGTAACTGATCTTGTGCTGCACAGGATCTGTCATGATCTTTTGTCTTGTGTGGCTCTCTGGTTACACTTTGTGTCTGACAGGCTGCTACTTACGAATTTACCACAGGCTCAGGTGCTGCAGGCTGTGTGTAATCTCACCTTGTTTATCTCTGATCCCCTGGCCCTTTCCCCTTTCTACCTGAAATAGCCAACAGTTTTAGTTAGCCAAGTGCAGCCTTGTCTCCCTTCCCCTTCCTCCTGCTCCCTTCCCTTGCTCTGTTTTGTTTTGCAGCCACAGTTGTGCTAACCCTGGCACAAACCCGTGCCAGTTCATTTTACAGGCTGAGGAGCTGTCAGTGTCCCAAGTACCCTGAGTCTGCCCAGCTGGCTCGCTTGGGTGTTTACTCTCTCTCTGAAGAGTCTATTTTTGATGCTCTCTAAGCAGACAGAGCATTGGATATCTGCTCTTATCACCCTGCTAGATGTTCAACACAGATCTTTTCCCTGCCCCCAACAGCTTGCATCCCCACCAAGGAGCATAATCTCATTTGGGGCTCTGTAATCCTGTCCTCGTTGCTTGGTCATTCTGTCACATGCTGTGATTTCAAATGGGTCAGTCCTAAGTGGCGGGATTAGATGACCAGGCAGTAAATCCTGCTGCTCGTTGTATGTTTTCAATTAGTTCCAACTAGTTCAGCCATTCTTGCTGAAGGAAGAGCACTGACCACCACCTTCTTTCCAGCTCACCTTGAGGGAGGAGAGGAGAAGCAGAAAAGGAACCTGCTTTTGGGTCAGAGCAGAAGGGGAGCAGCAGCACAGCTGTTATGTTCCTGGTAGCAGGGCAGGTACAAGGCCTTGGCTGTGCAGCAGAGCTGTCAGATGGAAGCCTGGGCGTAACTGGGCTTTTCATTGGCACCAGTCAGGTTTCTAGTGTAAGCAGCTGGGACATGAGTGTGGCTACAGTGAGGAGCAGTACCGATGGCTTGGCTGCAGCACCAGCCTCCTCCAACACACTTGTATGTACTCCCTCCCAGCGGGTGACATACATGTACATACATACACGTATGTCACCACGCTCCCAGCGCTTTCTCATCCTCTGCCTGTCACCCTGAGCCTCCCACCACCTTCCCCTGTCCCCAGCCCTTTTACTCCCTGCTTCTCTTCCCAAGACCCACCCTAGCCATTGCCTCCTCTGTCTCTACAACCCCTCCCATCACCAGTTTTACACTCTCCCCCAGTTCTCTGACCCTCTCCTTCAAGCTCCTGGGTTTCCCAGATCCTGTTTGCATGTGTCCTTATTCCTCACTCTAACCAAATAAATTCTGCCAAACAGGCCAATGTCTTTCCACACCCCTAGACAAATCCTGCTCTCAACCACTTAACCGTCCTCAAGCTGCAGCCTCAACTCTATTCTTCAAAGGAG